ACTTGGCGCGAGACACTACCGTGTCTCTTGATACGTTTTAAAAATGTACTTTAAACTATAGTTTTAAAATAATAAATGTACAGAACACAATATAGTTACAATTTACAAATATATATTTGTTAGAGCATTCGGACTTACCACTTCGCTCGGGAATAATTAATAATCTGGAAAAGTTTGATGCCGATTTTTTGATATATCTTTCAAACAAGCAAATACACTTGATCCTATGACAAGAATGTTACTGGAACAGAGTTACGAAGCAATTATCGATGCAGGGATTAATCCAAAACAATTACGAGGAAAAAATACTGCTGTAATTATTGGAACGTGTTACTTTGAATCACAACTGGCATTTATGTACGAAAATTTGCAGGTGAAAAAAATCATTGATTGATAAATATAGTAAGAAAAAAATAATTGCAGATTATTTGCAGAAATTATAAAAATTGTAAATAATATTAAGATTTGCTCTTTCTTATTAAACAATAATCGTAATAATAACAAGCTATTAAGTTAACTTCAATATCATTGTCAAATTTTTACACTGAAGATGGCCACATCCCTTAGGCCAAAACGTCTGTTATATTTTTAATAAAATGAATTTTTGAGCAATTCTAACCAGCTCCTGCTCTAATATCTTGTTGTTATTACGATTATCGTATAAAAATTAACATTTACATCAGTGCTAGACACGATTTGCACATTTCGATCAATTTTTGTAAGCTAACGCCTACTGGCTCCCCACTACGTCTTGAGACAACGCAAGTGGCGCTCTGCTTCAGGTACGACGCATCTGTAACGTGATGAAGATCCGTGTCACGTGACTGCCAAATATCAATACTTTAAACGCAATCTTTAAAATCTTTTGCTTTTTAATAATTAATTCAATAACAAAGTTTCAAAATTCTCGATTATAACATTTACGATATAAAAATCCTAAAATATTATTATATTATATTCGATAGATTAGATTTGTTTAATGTTCCAGAGACTTTTTCCAATTTGTAAATTAATGAATAACTGTTAATTTAAAGTTGAATAAGACGTTTTTATTAAAAACGTCTTACGTAGTGGGGAGCTGGTAGGCGTTAGCTTACGAAAATCGACCGAAATGTGCAGATCGTGTCTAGCACTGATTTACATGCATAAATTTGTAATTGTTTATATCCTGTTATTAGAAAAACGATATATATATTATTAAATATAGCAAATCTATGGTGGCAAATATGATTTCATATTTTGTAAAAGGACTACAAAATAAAGAAAAATTATTGATTCATGGAGATATAACACTACGACATAGTTGAAATAAATCATTTACATAATGATTTTTGTAATTACATGACCTATATAAATATATCACTACTTCTTGTAAATTAGATATCCGAAGGAACCATTGTAGGATGCTCCAAATATGCAGCGGCAAATATGATATCTCGTGCATTCGATCTGAAAGGACCATCGTATACAGTGGATACTGCCTGTAGCTCTGGTATATACGCTATCGCAGCTGCATATGATTGTATTATGTCAGGCCAATGCGAGGACGCAATAGTTGGAGCCGTAAACCTTTGCTTACATCCTATTATACATATGCAATTCTTTCGGCTTGGTATTATTTTCACTAAAATTACTTGATTTTATATAATACAAGCTAATTTGATATACTATATTGAACGAATACATACTGTACATAATTTTAGGTCTTTTATCTTCTGATGGAATTTGTAGGCCATTTGATACTAATGCAAGTGGTTATTCACGTTCCGATACCATCTCGGTAATATATCTTCAAAAAGCTAAAAATGCAAAAAGAATTTATGCTGTGTGTAAGCAGATTAAACTCAATAACGACGGTTACAAAGAAGAAGGAATAACATATCCATCATCACGCATGCAAAGTGTTTTATTAACAGAGTTTTACAACGAATGCAAAGTATCAACATCTGACTTGGATTACATTGAAGCACATGCTACTGCTACTAGAGTTGGCGATCCTGAAGAAATCAATGCTATTCATAAAGCTCTGTGCCAAAATAGAAAAACCCCTTTGATGGTGGGATCCATAAAATGCAACCTTGGTCACGCAGAACCTGCCAGCGTTTTCACACAAATCGCTAAAGTAAAACAATTTATTTAACAAATTATTTTATTATAACATAAAGACAAACAGTTTAGAATAACAAACAAAATAAGACATTTAAAACAATTACAAATTACCAAAATAATTCTTTTATGTAATTTTACCATTATATTTTTTTATGTAACATTTTTAAGATAGAAAGAAATATTTCAAATAATAACTATTAATATTGTTAAAAAGGAACATTAAATAGTTGTAATCCTTTAATTTAAATGTGATGATTACCAATTTCATCAATAAAATAAAAACTATAAATTCTTTATTTATTCAAGAAAGATTATCTTTTGGATATAAATAAACACAAAGATTCTTATGCTAAAGCGTTTTAATATAGCAAATATTATGTTTCGTGTTATTAATCTTATAACTGTCTAACAACAAAAAAAAGATCAAGTACTACTATAATTAATTCAAATTTATATATCAAAATTTATTTATTTTTGTAGGTGATAATAGCATTTGAAACCGATTTTGTACCGCCTAACATTAATTTTGCATCACCGCGGGACGATATAGACGCCTTAATGGATGGAAGCATCCGTGTCATCACAGAAGCAATGCCTCTTAAAAATGGTTACGTAGGCATAAATTCTTTCGGTTTCGGTGGAGCCAATGGTCACATGTTATTACAATGGAATGTCAAAAAAAAAGATTAATAATGCAGCACCCACTGATGATTTACCAAGACTTGTGGTATTGTCTGGACGCACAGAAGAATCAGTGAAATTGTTTCTAGATGATGTAACTAATTCAGCAACAGCACCAACATCATTTTTAACAGCAAAAAACGTTACATTATGTATACTATATTTATTTTTAAAACATTTATTTTGTAGATTGCTAATCATCCCATAGATGTAGAATATATCCGTTTACTACACGATATTCACACTGACGCCATAGATGGTCATTCATGGAGAGGATACATTATACTGAATTCTCAGCAAAAATATTCCATACAACAAATTCAAAATTGTAAAAACATAAAACGACCTATTTGCTTCATATTCTCTGCCTTAGAATTGCAATGGCCAGAAATGGGTATGTATCCAACATTCAACAATTTTATATGTACAAACTGATTAAAAAAATAATATAAATTTTTAAACTTTATCAGGTAAAGAGTTATTAAAATTTCACGCATTTGCGAATGCTGTAAAAATGTGCAATGCTATTTTAAAACCACATAATATAAGTGTTACGAATATATTGACGAAAATGGATGAAAAATTAAACAAAAACGCTTTACATACTTTTGTTGGCATCATCGCTATTTAGGTATTATATTTCAGAAACCGCAAATAAGTATATTGTATGTACTGATAAACGCAAATTTTAGTTTATTAATATCTTCTTTTTTATTATAAATTGACTTTATTATAAAATATGTTAATATTAAATATTAATAACAAACATTTATTTCTTAATGCAATATATTTAGTGACAAAATTGTTTATTAACATTGTAGATTGGCTTAGTAGATTTCTTAACATCTATAGAGATTATTCCGGATTACATAATTGGTCATTTTGTTGGTGAACTTGGTTGTGCTTACGCAGACGGGTGTCTGACTATGGAACAAACTATTTTGTCAGCGTACTTTATTGGTTTAGCATGTGTGAAAGAGAAACTAGCTCATAGCTCTATCGCAGTTGTCAATTATGATTACAATTCTCTTAAAGATATATGTCCAGCAGATATTGAAATAATATGCAAAAACAACCAAAACAGCAATATTTTAACAGGCCCCGTTAAATCCATGCAAGAGTTTTTGCAACAATTGCAGGTATGTTGATTTTCTACCTTCTATAAATTATAGATTTTTTTTATTAATGTATGTAGTTGTTGTTCTTAATATTTAAATAAATATCCAAGTTTTTAATTTTAATTTGTCGCATTTACTAATAAATATTATATATATATACTGCATTATATATTATAATATAATCATATATTATAAATAATTATAATTATATATTAATTATATATATTTTTTTATCAGAAGAACAACATTCACGTGACAACAATCTCCAGCAACAACATACCGCATCACAGTCGTTATCTCGCTTCTCTGAAATCGCAGTTTTTTACAAGTTTGAACGAAATAATTTCACAGCCGAAAGAAAGAAGTCCCAAATGGATCAGCACCTCCGTACCTCGCAATGAATGGTCCAATTCAACGTTAAAATTATGCTCAGCAAGCTACCATACGCGCAGTATATTAAACACCGTTCTTTTTGAACAAGCAACGCATATGATCCCAGATAACGCTGTAATTATCGAAATTGCACCAGTTAGCATTTTACAGGACATTTTGATAGAATCGGTTTATTCAAAAGTAACAAACATTGTACTGACTAAGCGTAGTGAACCAAATGCTATCGATTTAATATTGCAAGGGATTGGAGAACTCTACAACTGTGGCCTACAGCCGTGTATCGCTAATTTGTATCCACCGGTGAATTTTCCAGTTAGCCGAAGCACTCCTATGATCTCTCCATCAATTAGGTACAATATATTTTTAAATTAATATATCGCATATGAAAATAAACACATAACTGTAAACGTTTTAATACCATCAGATGGAATCATTCTGAAGATTGGTATGTATGTACAAAAAAAACACCGACAATAATCAGATCCAGAGCAAGAAAAATAGAAATTTCGACGAATGACGATGAATATAGCTTTATAACCGGTCACGTCATTGACGGAAAAAATTTGTTACCTGCGACAAGCTATCTAGTGTTTGTTTGGGAAACGGTTGGAATGATAATGGGTGCAATGTACAATTCAATATCAATAGTATTTCAAGATGTAAAATTTATTCGGGCTACACATTTATCGAACGAAGGCTCTGTGAATTTGACAATAACAATACAGAAAGGTATGTGTAAAATTTTATTCTTCCAAAAAAAGCTTTTAATAATATAATTACAATAACATGTAACATTCGATGTAAAATTATTGCAGAGAGCGGCAAATTTGAAATCACTGAAGGAGACAGCGTTGTTGTAACAGGTGAAATACACGTTGTATCAAATGCCAAACAAGAAATGATGCCGAATGATCTGTTGTCGGTGGATACTGATGAGGAAGAAGATATGACTTCTCGAGACATTTACAAAGAATTAAGGCTACGCGGTTATCAATACAGTGGTGGATTTTGTAGCTTAAATAGCGCATCAATATCAGGCAGCAAAGGGCACATCACTTGGATAGGTAATTGGGTGACATTCATGGACAACATGCTGCAGATGTATATACTTGGAAAAGATACCAGAGACTTATATATTCCAACGAGTATTGAAAAATTGGTAATTAGTCCCGCACTTCAAGCATCAAAATTGCAGAAAATGACATCCAAATTAAATAAACGTAAATATCTTACTTACAATTAAATAAATAATAAAAAAATTATTAAATTATTAAATAATTAAATAATAAAAACATTATTATTTAAAATGTAATATTTTCTAAATTATTAAATTGCAGAAATACCTGTACGTGTATATAAAAAAATAGGCGTAATTAAATCAGGTGGAATAGAGATACGTGGCCTGAAAGCTACCTCGATTTCTCGTCGAAAACCAATCGGAGATCCCGTCATCGAAGAACATAAATTTATAGCTCATCAGGATCACGCTGATATTTCGTTAAATGAAGCTATTCGAATATCGACGCAGCTAGCGCTAGAAGATCATCAGATCATTAAAGCAACAGCCATAGAGCTAGTGGAAGATGCTGATGATGTAATGTTAGAAGATCTATCATCAACGTTACTGATTGAAGCTCTTGCTGATATTCCTTTAATACAAGCAAATGTTGTTATACTAACATCGCCGAATCGTTTCAATCCAAAGGAACTGTCTTCAAATGTTTCGATCGCAGACTTAAATAAACCATTTGTAGGCGACAAAGCTTTGATAGCTACAGGATTTAATCTTTTGACGAAACATCAGAATTCATTAGAACAACTTTTGCCTCTTTTGAGGGATGGCGGTTATCTCTTAACACGCGAGAAATGCAATCTAAATAAGTATGAAAAATATTTGAGTGAATGTGCATTAAGTGTTATTCTGGAAAAACGTACGGATAAAGAAATAATTATACTATTGAAGAAAAAGATTATAATAACAAAAACAATTGTCGTCTACATAAATAATATTAATTTTAATTGGCTAGAAGAGTTAAAGCAACTTGTAGACAACAAGAACAAACACAATAGTAATAGCAGAATTATAATTGTTGGAGAAGAAGACTTTGAATGCGGTTTATTGGGTTTTATTAACTGCTTGAGAAAAGAACCTGGTGGACAGCTGGTTAGAGGTGTGCTTATTCAAGACAAGCATGCTCCGAAATTTTCTCTCCAAGATCCATTCTATATGCAACAAATACAAAAAGATATGTTTGTTTGCGTTTTGCGACCTAATAAAACTTGGGGATCTTATCGACATTTGCGATTACCGCATCCAGAAGTCGAATCCGTAACTGCCGCCTATGTATGCCAAACGGTATATAAAACAATTTGTCGAAATTTGGATAATCTATCAATATGCTATTGACATAATAGTATTGTAAATTTTTTTTTCAAATATTTTTAAAAATTTTTCTTAAAAGTCTCGCGCTTTATCTGACGAATATATTTATTTGTTTAACGAATACTTTTCTACAGGTTCGAGGCGATTTAAGTTCTTTCTGTTGGATGGAAAACGATATATCTGTCGATTCTCATGGCAATGATATAGTACGTGTGGCCTATTCGTCCATCAATTTCAAAGATGTAATGCTAGCAACTGGTAAATTAACATCTGATTTCCTAAAGTCGAATCGATTTCATGACACGAGTCTTGGACTGGAATATGTAGGATACGATGGCAATGGACAACGAGTAATGGGAATTTCTGACGATAAGTATGTAACTAAATAATATATAAAAAAAATATATATATATATATATATGGGGCATTCTTTCTCAACTTTACACCCATGCTGCCCATTTTCTATTTGATCTAAAAATTTTTACAAATCTTAAAATTTACAGAAAAATGTAAGCTTTCCAATGGCGCGTGGCAAAATTATCAAATTCAATTGGATCATACTTAAAATTTCAGAAAACCGAAAGAAAAATAATAAAAACGGTAATTATTCAAGTATAGCAATTATTCATTCGACGTTTTTCTCTTCCAATTAACACTTTCGAGTACTCTGTTTATCTGTGCACTGTCACATGAGTCTAAACTAAAATGGCGGATCTAATATGGCCCGCCAAAAAATTTAAAAAATTTAAGAAATTAACTGTATTTTTATAAAACTTGGTATCTAAGGGGTTTTTCGGGTTACTG